CACAAGCTCTCTTCTAAATTTCACACCCAACGAAAGATCATTAGCATACTTAAGTTTGTGATCCACCTCCGTACCAGAACCCAGTACAATCATATCAGCCTGTTTCAGGTGCACCTTTTTGATTCAGGCTTGTATCTGCTGTCCTCATACAAGCCCAGCACGGTCCTGCGATTCAAACTGGCAGAAAATTTAGCATCAATCCAATACACTCCATAACCATCCTCCTTGTGCATGCCCCAGATGCACCTCAAACTCATAGACATTACGTTAACAACAGGAAGATTGCTTAAACAACAATGGCAAGTTCAGTACCTGTCCAGTTGAGTACCATGGATACCAGCGGATCATGATCTTCAGACCAAGATGACTGATTGCAAACCTTGTCAAGGTTACCAGGATGACTGAATCTGTATCACCACTGCAGCTTTGTCAAGTCACATAGTGTGATGCTCACTGAAAACACCTTTGACACAGGAAGCATGTTTGTTTATCACATATATCAACAAGAAAATTCACTGGTCTTCAAGCTCGACGATGCATGTTCATTATGCCGCGTACCATGCTATCGAGTGCCAACCATGTACTTCCCAGAAGGATTTCCCAAAATTTGCAGCTGTTTCCCCATAAGTTAAAGAGAGCCCCTCAGGATTATGGGGACCAGCTATTTGTCAGGATTCAAGATGCGGCACTGGCAAAGTAGTCCCGAATCGTACAAAATGGAACACCTGAAATATGGTAAATTCATATTGAAACATGAGATTGGGTTGTCAGCAAGGGTTCCACATTAACATTTACGTTTGTAGATCGCACCAGTCAACCGAAGTTGCTTCGCCTTCATGGCCTTTCAAAAACTATAGGAGCACTTTCAGGTTGATCCACCTATGTCAATGGACAACTATTAGCATGGATGTGAATATAATAATGTATAGTGTGTGACAAAAGGATACCACATAAGCTAAAAGGCAAGTTTTATAGGACAGCGATTAGACCTGCTATGTTGTATGGTGCAGAATGTTGGCCTACGAAAAGACGACATGTTCAACAGATAAGTGTCGCGGAAATGCGTATGTTGCGTTGGATTTGCGGTCATACAAGAAGGGATCGAGTTCGGAACGATGATATACGTGATAGATTAGGGGTAGCACCAATTGAAGAAAAGCTTGTCCAACACCGGTTGAGATGGTTTGGACATGTCCAACGGAGACCTCCAGAGGCACCGGTGCGTAGTGGAATCCTAAGCCAGGATAGTAACGTGAAGAGAGGCAGAGAAAGACCGAAGTTGACTTGGGTAGAGGCAATAAAAGGAGACTTGAAAGGATGGAATATATCCCAAAGACTTAGCCTTAGATAGGAGTGCTTGGAAAACAGCTATTCACGTGCCTGAACCTTGATTGCTTCTGTTGGGTTTCAACTCTAGCCTACCCAACTTGTTTGGGACTTAAAGGCTTTGTTGTTGTTGTTGTATAGTGTGTAAGAAAGCAGGTAGCAGATATGCGACAAGCACCTGCCACAGGTATACACTTGCATCACTTGATCCGCCAAGGATGCGAGTTCCATCAGGACTGATAGCAGACTGCATGGTATAAAGTTTAGGCATTACAGCACATACAATGATCAAACTATGCATAAGCATCTCTTTTGTATGTTTAAAGCAAATCAAAACCCCAGATGGCCACTCACTGACCTTGACAAAGAACGACTATTTTGTTGCCAGTGTAAACCTTTATGGGACCCTTGTTTTTTTTTTAGGGAATTTATGGGACCCTTGTTCACATGGAGAACACTGTACAAATAGATTCTGAAAGGCATACGGTCAAAATCAGTATTTACCCACGGCATGAAAACTATTCAGTGTCTCATGGCAAGGTCTGAATTTACCTGTTATCTTGAGACAGGAAAGAGATGTCATGTTTCACCCCCTCCTTCAGAAACAAAGGACCAGAGATTGTCGATCCGGAGAAGGACCAGGAGGGGAGCGGCCACCTGCACCCGTGGCAGTTCGTCAGCCTCGGCACCGCCGCGTTGGGTTTTGGTGTTTTATTAGCCCTTGATTTTAATGGAGACGAATTCCTGTGTGCATTTTTGTAGGTGCATAATGGTTGGAGGCTCTCAGCGGGGGACGTTTTCCTGGGGGACCGAGTATAATTTTGATTGGTCCACTATAGTAGAGATAAACATAGCAAAGAGCAAAAGACAATGTTTGTCAGCTCTTAAGGCTCACCACACTTGGGGTAAATTAAGGAACTGTTGAGCCAAGCACCACAGTATGCCAGACTTACCACAAAATGAGGCACTGCTACTAGCGTTGTATGTGCCTTGGTGTGGTTAAACTGCACTCTAACATGCTTGTTTGATAAAAAGTATTTCTTATTCTCGTCAGATAAGAACTTATTTGTTTTGATGTGTTTACCATTCTTTGACACTTTCACTTTTTAAAATAATTTGCAGGAGGTGCTAGTATCTCTTTGACCTACATAGCTTCTGAAAGGACAATTCCTGGGTAAATATTTCTTTATTGATTTCACAGCTAAGCTATCAGGGCTCATTACTTATGATTGTTTTGGTGATTGCTTTGTAGCTATGGTGGTGGTATGAGTTCAGCCAAAGCGGCACTTGAGAGTGATACAAGAGTACAAACTTTTCTATGCGATCTCACATGCCTTGCATTATGATGTCCAGTGGTGCTTCCCCATGCATATAGTTACTTGCAAGCCTTTTTTCCTATTCAGGTTCTTGCTTATGAAGCAGGTCGAAAAGGCAAAATCAGAGTGAACACCATATCAGCAGGTAACTATTTTTTTCTTTTCCTTTTCCAAGGAAGTAAACAAGTCCACTTTAGCAAATCTTGCTGAACAGAATATGCATTCGGGAACATCACTTATATATACAAAATTAGAAGATAATTGTGGTTTGCAGTTCGTCTGAGGCTTTAATAACTTATTACCAGCACTTGCATTGGCGTATGTCATGCATTGCATCTGTCTCCTTAGGTCCATTGGGAAGCCGAGCAGCAAAAGCCATTGGATTTATCGAGAAGATGATAGAGTATTCTTATGTCAATGCACCACTGCAGAAGGAACTACTGGCAGGTTAAATTTCCATCTTTCCTTTATATCTATTTTGCCTGCCTGAAAAGGGGAAAAAAAGGGGTGTGACTTTAGCAAATCTTGCTGAACAGAATATGCATTTCTTCTTTACTTTCTCTGAAAACAGCTTGTATTACATATCAACAGATGAAGTGGGGAACACGGCAGCATTCCTCGCTTCTCCTTTGGCATCAGCAATCACTGGTTCAACTATTTACGTTGACAATGGGCTCAACACAATGGGACTTGCACTTGACAGCCCTACTTTATCCACATGAGCACATTTCAGCTGAATATGGTGCAGTTAGGTTTGAACCGGAGTAGTACGTGCAAGGCAGTCAAATTTTGAAATTAGTTTGGAGGATGGTAGATTTTGCAGGAGATTCCGTTTTTAAGTTTTCATTAACTTGGACTGTCAGTTAATCGTTAGAAATAGGAACTGTAACAGGCTGCAGTCTCCTGGTCTATGTAATGCACTAATGCAGATTTAGATTTTGCTGTCTCCTGGTCTGTTTGTCTGCTAATTCGATCATGTCAAACAACTTAGAATAATTTTAAAACCTGCACGGTGGCGTGGCTTTGGAAATAGTTGAAGGACGTAAATACGCCGTTTTTCCACGTATACCGAATCATCTGTTATGTTGGTGTTTTTAGTCAGAGAATCTGCTTGGACCGACCCTCCTATCTGCGCTAGGTCAGATGACCTGTCAACTTTTTTTTTTTTGAAAAGTGTGGCAGCTGGGGTTGAAGAAAAAGAGACGGAAGAGAGAGATGACATCTGCTCACAATTACTCTCTCTCTCTCTCTCTCTCTCTCTCTCTCAAAAAGATGCAGTTTTGGGTTTGGTTTAAGTGTATGTTGGGTAGAGATCCGGATTTTTTTTTGGAAATGTATTAGATTCAAATTCTCTCTAGAAACATTTCTCTGTTAAAATCAAAATCAATTTATATAACCGTTTAACTAGCTCACTAAATTCTTAAAATTAGAAACTAGCTCACTGAACTCTTAAAACTAGAAAGGTTTATCTTTTTATGGTGTTTGGTAGTGATTCTATTAAGAATCTAAAATGTCTCTTGCTGTTAAACACACCTTAAACCAAACTTCTTTAAATTTGGAAAAGTTTATACAAAATATTAATAACATTAGGACTCCAAATAGCTCGACTATTTTATAATGAATCTAATTATAATTATTTGAGAGCATAAGTAATATTATCTTTAAATGTTTGGTCAAAGTTAGGTATACTGAATGGGCAGAAAGTTAGGATCGTTTTTTTTTTTTTTGACGAAGAGAGCAGAAGAGAAACACCTCTCTGGCCTAAGTTTCTTTTCTACAGAGAGGTGCCACGTAACTGAACACTTTTATATATTCGGACACCACTTTTTGAATATAGTGAAGGCTTCTACGGAGAGAGGACTCTTGGTTCAGAGAATGTAGTTTCGTTGTTTCTAGGTCGTTGTCGTTGTTTCGTTGAGCTGTTCAGGATGAGTTTATTTTTTTAATATAATCAGTAGCTTTTCTGATTGATTAGTTAAAAAAAAGGTTTAGAGAATGTGAGACGTCCCACACCCCAAATGGGTCACACACATACCTTATCTTTTTATGCTTTTTCTAAAGCGTGAAACAGCGGAATATAATAGCAAATCAGAGAGAGAATATCAGTCAGACTCTTTCTGTACTCGTGTCGCTAGCTTTTTATGGCACGTGTGATGGCGCGCACGCTGCAGGTTCTTGAACCCAATACACGAACACGGCGGCTGGAGCCGAGACCGGGACACGTGCAGGTACAAGTACAGCCTGACGCGAGGCGCAGTTACATGCATAAAACGACACTGCACGCAGACAAATCCAACCTGCACGCAGTTGCAGTTTACTAGTCAACTCCCAGTGAGCAATTCGATCGGCACGGTTGCGATGCAGGGCGGGAGGAGCGCGAGCGCGGTGGAGGCCGCCAAGGAGGCGGCGGCGAACGTAGGCGCGTCGGCGTGGGCCGGCAAGGAGAAGACCAAGGCCGTCGTGCAGGAGAAGGTGTCCAAGACGAGGGAGCACGACCCCGCGGAGAAGGCGGCGACGGACGCCAGGATGCAGGAGCGCGTCCACGAGGTCGAGGCCATCAAGCAGGACGCCAGGCGCCAGAACGCCGCCGCCAAGGAGCGCGCCACGGCCGCGGAGCACCACCCGACGCCGCTCGGCGTTGGGGCCGCCGCCTCCGTGACGGCGCCCGCTGCTGGTGCCGGTGCCGGTGCGCCGGTTGCTACGACCGAGACGGGCGTAGCAGCGGAGCCGGCCGGCGGCGCCGGCGTCCAACGTTACGCTGGCTTCCACGGGACCGACGGTGTCCCACCGCCGACCGGCACGGCCGGCGGCCACTACACCTGAAGCGAATAGAGGCAAGGCAATATCGTCGTGTGCTTGTTTGGCTGTCGAGATTGTACGTGTTATATGGTGGTTTTACATACGTAATAACTCCAATGGTGTAGCCAGGCTACGGCTAAGGTAGGACCAAACAGGCCTATATATGTCTGGGCCAAGAGGCACGCCGAGTCTTGAGCTAAAACGACCTTCTGATCACATTCAGGTAAACATCAGTACCGTACCGACGCAGCAGCTGCAAATTTGGCAATCCATCAACTTCACCATATACATAGCAATGCACATATATACGATAAAGTTACAAGGCAGTAGTTGATTGGAGTCTAGTTAGGCTAAGCCTATCCTATTAAGCTAACGCGAGTTTGTTTGGTTGGACTGCTATCCTTAGCTAGGTTTTGAGTTTGTTTGGTTGGATTGCTATCCTTTTCGTAAGAGTTTGTTTGGTTGCTTGCTTTCTCTTGTATAGAATCAACCCCCACCCCCCACCCCCAGCCTGGTAAGGTTACCCCCTTTTAAGTATTCTATCGAACAGGTGGTGGGCTGCTCATCTCCGTCATCGTTCCATCAACCAGCCAGAGCAACCAACAAAGGCAATCCATGGCCAAGCATCCATGGCGTGGCTCGTCACCACCGTCATCCGGCGCGGGCGCGTCGGAAATGAAGCTACCGGGGTTCCGGTTCCACCCGACGGAGGAGCTGCTGGAGTTCTACCTGAAGCAGGTGGCGCACGGGCTCCAGCACATCCATGGCCACGCTCAGATCCTCCACCTCTGGCACCAATGTGCCACGCTCGGCTCCTCCACCTCCATGGCCACACTCGCCATTGACACGCGAGTACGATGTCCCTCCCCTGCTCCTCGGCGAGGAGGTCGTGCAGCACCAGCGCCATGCCGTTCACCTCCTCCAGGCAGTTCCCCGCCGCCCCTGCGTCTTCCAGTGGAGACGGCCGCACCCGCCGGGGACCTCCCCGGACGCTTCCGCGCGGGCCTCGCCTGCTGCACCCACCCTCTCCTAGCGGTGGTGGACGAGGTGACGATGGGGCGACGGTGCCGTCGCAACGGGAGGTGAGCGGAACTCACGACTCCGCTAGCCAGGGCCCGGCTCCAGAAAAAGAGCCTTTTACCTACGTGCTATCAAAAAAATTTATAATTATATATAAGTCATTAAAAAAGTTAACCGTATATAGGTATGACTGCTCTAAACTTCTTTGTCTTACAAGCCATTCCGTTCTTGTTTCATTTATTTTTCGCCGTTTGGTAGCCCTTACAGGTGAGACCGCTCAATAAAATTGTCCATGTTGCCTTTGGACGGTGGAGACCGTGTTGACAAACTTTTTTGATGGCTCAATCTGTTTCGTAGGGGAACACGCAAAGGGGCATCCGGAGCGGACCAGTGTTCTTGGAGATTGTGAGATGTTTGAGACGGTGGCCACCTTGCAGAGAGATTAAGGAGAAGCCCTGGATCTCAAGAGACTCGACGTGGGACGCGGCGAACCTGAGAGAGCAGTTGCTAGAGCCGACGAAGTCGAGACGGCACCGCTCGAGCAGGGCGAGCGAGGCGACCGCCTCCCCGGCGCACTCGCACCCGAGCAACACGAGGTCGGTGAGGTTGGGGCACGCGGCGTCATCCAGCACGGCGCCGCCGACCTCCAGCACGCGGAGCCGCTCCATCCGGCCTCACGCGAGGGCGCGCGTCATCGTGAGCCCCCATAGCCTGAGCTCCTCGAGGCCCGCAGCCACCCCGATGGAGTCCAGGTGGCCCAACTTGTCGGTGGCGACGGAGGAGTCACCCGCAGCTCGAGCACGCACAGCGTGGCGGCCTGCGCCGCGAGCCAGCACGGGAGCAACGACGCGGAGAAGGGGCAGTACACGATGAGCTCCTCGAGGCGCGCGGCGGCGTCGACCATCCTGCCGATGGCGTCGTCAGCCATGGCCACCGCCGACGCCGACGTCGGTCTGTCGCCAACGGCCTCGAACGCGCCCCGCGGGAAGTAGAGCGACGGCAGGAAGGGCATGCAGGTGAAGGTGGTGGCCGTCGTCACCGCCATGAAGGAGGAGCAGGAGTAGGAAGGCGAGCGGGAGCGCGAGGACAAGCGGTGGGTGGTCAGGGCCGCCGAAGCCACGGCCGCCTGGGTGGAAGTGGTGTGGCGGGGCCTTGGGGTGCGCCTCGGGCTCTGGGTCCTCGACAACCACTACTTGGAACAAGGAGCAGTTGCACACCGTGGGCGAGCGCAGCAGCGAGGACGGCGTATGCGTCAGCTTGCCAGCCCCTGGCCCCGGCCCCGCCCCGCCGCCATGACTGTCCATCCTTTGTCGTCGCCGCTCCCCGGCCCCGACGCCTCCGTCCCTCTCCTCAATCTCTGGCGGATCTCTGTCTCAATCAAATCCCTAGAGCAGACGCACCGCGCAAGCGGGGCAGGCGGGCAGAGGATGGACGGCCACCATCCAAGGGCAACATGGACAATTTCACTGGTCGGTCCCACCTGTAAGGGCTACCAAACGGCGAAAAACAAACAGAACAAGGACGGAATGGCTTGTAAGGCAAAGAAGTTTAGAGCAGTGGCATCTGTGTGCGGTCACCTTTTTTAATGGCTTGTGTGTAATTATAAACTTTTTTAATGGCATGTAGGTAAAAGGCTCCCATAAAAAACGCATAACCCCTGCATTTCTCTGCAGCCAGCTAAGACCCTCGGTGGCTTACTGGGCATGGCTAGGATGCCTGTTCAGCTAACCAAACAGGCTCAAATTACCTTCAGAAAGCCTGGTTAGGAGATAGCCAGGAACCAAACACCAATACATATATACCAACCAAAGAGTGAACGGGTCGAGTGTGATATAACGCAGGCAAAAGTCCAAACCAGAATTACGCGAACGGCGGACCTGATCTCTGTTTTGGATAGTAATTCAACAGACCTAAATTGAATTCGGTATTAGGCTGTGTTATCGATTTTACCTAAATTATTAGTACAAGGCAATTTGCAATTTGGTATTTCTTCTATGGAGGCAGTCGTAATTTCCCCGGCAACGGTGGTTTTATGTACAGTGGCGGTCACAATTTATCCATCTCTCAAAATATATTTGCAAAGACGGCCACAAATTAACCATCCCTCAAATTCCATTAACAGTATTGGGCTCTTAAGATGGCCCACTCCAAAAATGGTCTTCTTTTCCATAGGCAGACTCCTTAAGAGGCCTCCCTCTATAAATAAGGTCGAGGCCCAAACCAGGCCATTACAGGTCACATATATAAGAAGGGGCTAGGGTTTCTAAGCCTCACTTTCCCTTTCTGCCTTCTCTCTCTAACAGCCAACACCCACTTCCTCTTCTCTCCACAGACGTCGACTTCCTCTTCTCTCCAGCAGCGGCCCTACGTGGCATCGCAGACACGCGGGCCTAGCGCGGCCCCAACAAGCGGCGGTAGGGACGCATGGGCCCTGCGAGCGGTGGCGCTGGTCTGCGCAACCCCATAGCAGTACCCACTAACACACCACCCCAACTTCAATCAGTAATCAAATTAGAGGGAAGCAAGTTGGAGAGAAAAGGGATTGCTTCAAGGAGGAAGAAACATGAATCAACAATCACAACAACAATAACAAAGAGGATTAGATTAGATCCAGAATCCTCAGCACACACATGAGCAAGTAAATTGAACAACAGAGGCAGGAACATGAGGGTTCACATAAAGAGAGAAGAACCTGGCCAAGGTAAAGCTTTGCATGTCATCTGTTAATTGCGGTGAGCAAAGTATGTTTCATCTGCACAAAGAAAAATCACATAGCCAAGAAGTGGCCGAGAAGGAAAGGATCTCAAGAGGTTGTCCAGTACTTTGGGAGTGCCAACCATAGTTATTTGAACCGGATCGGACCGGCAGTCCAACCGGTAAAAGACTGAGCCTCGGGCGGCCCGGTCTAGCTTAGAAGACCGGTAAGCAATTGAGCCAGTATAAAATCGGTGAACCAATAGTTTTTTCATAGGAACCAGTATAAAACTGGGCAACGAACCGATGAAAAACCGGGCGGTCTGGAGCTGTGCGTGGGATTTGCAACGTGGAAGGGGGGAGAGGAGAGAAAATGAGGGAAAACTGTCTAAAAAGGGGTCGATAGGGAATTAAACCCTGGTCTCATGGGTTGGAGAGCAAGATCTCCACCACTGAGCCATGACTTCCGTTGTGTTCGAGTAGCGTTCCTCATTATATTTGAACTGGATTAAACCGGCGGTTGGACCAATCAAACCGTGAACCGAAGCCTTGAGCGGTTCGATGTCCGGTCCGGTCCTAATAACTATGGTGCCAACAAGGGTCTTGGATTTTTTTTTATGTGAAACCTGGAGAGGACAAGTTCAAGTTATGGACTAAATTTGATAAATGTGGTATCTTTACCATTGAGATGGTGAGATGGTCCATGAGAATATCATGAAGGATTTGTTTGATAAGGATTGGCATTGTTAGTTGAAACAAATGGATGGATATAATTTCTTTAGTGAGATTACCACCAAACAAAAAGGTTGAAAGTTTCATGATTAACAAGGTATCATATTTCTACCAATAGGAAGGTGTTGTTATGGCTTCTCTAAGAATTTGGAATGGGCGAATTGCTATATCAGAGTCTACGGGAATAATGACAAAGGTTTGTGTTCAGACTTGAGGAAGTCCCCCTAAATGGTGCGACTAGATGATCACGTGACATATCACTTCTACTCTTGGTATTCTAATGGAAGTAGACTGGCAGTCCCTGTTTGCAAGTATTTACTATGATTAGAATGTCGCAGAACCGACCAATTTATAAGAATACAAGTACAATGGCAATCCACAAGTGGTCGCACTGTCATACTTGAACCCATATAAACCCGGTAGTCCGTCGAATACCACGACGGGTCTCGATAAACGATTTACAACAACCAAGATCGTATGAGATTCAACATACATGCCACATATTACATAAAGTTCACGATACTTTTCATCATCGAGTACTGAATAAAAGTTATTACAAACCGAGTTTGATAAATAAAGCGGAAGCAAATAAGTTCAAGATAAAGTTTCCAACATAGTTTGATACGATGCCAAGCTAGATCACGGTCCACAAAAGCAAGGATAGGAATTACTAAAGAAGCTCGCCCAAGGCTTACTCCTCATCCACAATGGGATAGAAGCAACTCTTGTAATAACCATGATACACGGTGTCATCTGCAACAATGGGAAAATAAACCACAGTACAAGAAGGTACTCAGCTAGACTTACCCGTCATGAACCAGAAATAAAATGACTCCAAGGATTATGCAAGGCTGTATAAGTGGACGTAATTTGACAACATTTTTGCGTAAAAGCAATTGAATCAAGGTACAATTACAAGTTCTTTACTAGATTATTTATAACTATCCTTTCTAGGTTAGCAACTATCCTGTGCCAAACATGTGGTATATCATTTAGAATCATACAATAGTAACCATAGCAGGTATTGTAATTCCATATTCATCCGAACCATCATGTTTCATAACACAGTTGCTACGATGTTGGGACTAGCCAAGTTTCTCACTATCCGGGAGAGACGGCGATTCAATCGATTTCAACCACCGAGAATTTATTCCTAACACAAACCCAGTCTACCAACCACGATAGCCTTAGGTCACCTTTGGTACAACTCCGGTACACATTTCGCGGGTCCATCATTGCGCAAGCATGTCTGGAACACCGGATGCCGGGATGCTCGAGCCAAGCACGCCCTTTGGGCTCGATCGATCGTTCCTGGAAGGAGCGCATGAGCGATTCCCGCCCGAGTTGAAATACTCGGCCAGCGGTCGGAACGAGTTATCCGGCCAGCTAAGTGAGAGGCATGCATTCAATCTTGTCGAGAAGCGCCAACAACAGTGCGGTCCTTAATCGACACGAGACGGGATAAATCCACACCCAAGACCTCCATGTCTTGTTGCTTCTCTATCGACTTCCCGTCCGGTCTCGATTTACTTTTACCTCATGGTTCTGTTCACGATAGCAAATATAGCCAACCGTGCTCCGGTATCCACCTATATCTCGCGGTGACAGACATCACCCGACTTCTACCGGTCTAAGCATGGCTAAGCATATATATTCGATCCTGGACCTATACCGGTTAAAGGTGTAATATTTGGACAAGGAATGTACATGCATCAAGTGGTTTCATTCAACTCTTATAACCTAATGCATCAGTCATAAATACGTAAGTAAACATTTGTAAATTACTGGGAGACTTATAATGCTCCGGGGCTTGCCTCCCAGAAAGGAAGTAGGGCGGTGGTCAGGACACTCCGGAAGCTCTTTAGGGTTCTGCTCCACGCCTTCGGGAGCTGCGACTTGTGGATCCTCCTGCTGGTTCCCTTCCTCTGCTTCTTCGAATTCCAGCAACGTGATCTCTTCCTCCGATCCTAGATGCATGAGTATGGCATAAGTATTACGAATGAATAAATGTTAACAAGTGCGTCATATTTATTGAGTAGGTGCATATCTCTTCTCGATTATTACTTAATTACTCCTACAATGCATCGACCATGCCACAAACAGTAGCTACTTGTTTCACTCATAACTGGAGTTCTACTAATCCAAAAACAGTGATCCTAGACTTTCTGGAAAGCTTATCAAATTCTCTACAACTTTGTTATTAACCATTTTTACAGTACACATCAGTTTCAACATGCAACTC